GGAACTTATTTTCAAAAAATTGTTTTTCTTGTGTTCTTTTAATTTTTGTAAAATGATTTCTATACATAGTATATGTCTTTTTATTATCAGCCGTTGGATTTAATAAATATTTTTTATATAGAGTGTTTTTATGGATGGAACAGTTATATAATTTTATATTCATCCATGGCTTCCTAAAGCGGTCCCTACGACTTATCATGGGACAAGCGACGTCTATACAGTTCATATAAATTCTAAAAAAATTATCATAATCAATATTCAAATCGATAGAGTCTTGGAGTTCAGGCCACTTTATGCCAGACAGCATACTATTGGCCTCTTGGATATTCTTTTCATCAGTTAATCTGGTATGGATTAAGGGACGTTTACTACATTTATTATTACATTTATTATTTTTATGCGGAATGCATACAAAAATAGGCATATGATCAGTGATATCCTCACAAATTATACCTTTTATCAAACTACAGTTGTCATTAGTTAAGATACTGTCAATGACAGTAGAGCTTGAATCAGTAATTCTTGTAGGTTGGTTGATTAAAAAAAACAATCCAAGATCAGCCATACTATTGATAAAGTTTCGTGAATAAGCATTGTTAACTGCCAGATTTATATTAAAATCCCCCAAGATATATAGTTTGGATTTGCACGCAGGCTTTAATGTGTTGAATAAAAAGTCAGAAAGCGACAAAATAAATTCATTTATGTTGGCATCAGGTGGTTTGTAAACGCATAAGAAGTAATGCTTGTTACCATTTATATTGGTTGTAATGCCCGACCATTCAAAAAAATCAGACGAGTATAAAATGCTATTGTGTAAGTTAGAATAAATAATAGTTCTGTTTATTAAAAACCCTGTACCACCACCTTTCTTATTTGTTCTGTTGTGGCATACAAATATATACTCTGGAAATTGAATGTGCGTACTATTATTAATTTCATTGTTTGTAAACCACGTTTCACTCAAGGCTATAATTGCTGGTAGGATACGCATGCCATATATGAATAAAGATATATCATTTAAATGCGCGGCAAAACTGCGACAGTTTAAATGTATAACAATCACATAATGAATATCAGATTTATGACAAATTAAGTTATTAAATTCAATAGTTGAATAATAATTTGATAAGGAATTTAGAAATCTAAAATCATAATTTAAATCCACGTCAATGTCATAAAAAATTATTCAGAATCTTATCATTAACATCATCGTCGTCATTATTTTGTACACCAAACTCAATATCTTCCTGACCATATATATCAATTTCATCATTAATATTATCATCAATATTATTCACGACAATTTCACTCATATCAACCCCACTACGAACATCCCTCACGACATCATCACTCATTTCAACCCCACTCCAAACGTCACCCATAACATCACCACTCATATCCACCACACTACAAACGTCACCCACCATCATTCTCCCCCCTGGTAATGATGCCGGAAAATATTAAATTGAAACCTCCACAAACACTCAGGGAACTCGTAAGTGTCGTGTTAAAGAAAAAATTAAGGAAAGAGAGAAAGAAAGAGAAAGAGAGAGAAAAAGAGAGATAAAGATAGAGAGAGAGAGATAGAAAGGAGAGGAAAAGAGAGAGAGAGAGAGAGAGAGAGAAACAAAGACAGAGAAAAGATAGAGAAAGAGAGAGAGGAGAAGTGGCAAAAAGACAAAATGGAAGGGAGAGGAAACAATGAAATTAGAGAGAGAATGGAAAAAAAATAAAGAGAAAGAGAGAAAGAGAGAGAGAGAGAGAAGAAGAAAAGAGAAAAGTATGCTTTTAGTATTATGTCAACTCAAAAATAAAAATGAACTTGATGCAACGGAATGAATGAACGGATGGATGGATGAATGAATGATTGAATGAAAGAATGAATGAATGAATGTATAGATGAAAGAATGAATGAATGGATGAATGACATCAACAGATGTATTCAGTATTAAAATTTAAATCTGGATTTTTCTGATCTTAAAATGGTTTTGAGAGTTCGAGAGGCTAAAAGCAACAACAGCAACAACAACAACAGCAACAACAACAACAACAACAACAACAAATTTATCATCATTTAGAATCACATTCAGCAATACATTGTTTAACATGAACAAATTTTCATATATAAGTGAGTGTGTGTGTACGTGTATGTCTGTCTGTGTGTGTGTGTGTGTGTACGTGTATATATATCTGTGTGTGTACGTATTACTGTGTGTGTGTGTGTTTGTTTATGTGTGCGCGTGCCAATGAAAACAAAACAAAGACAACAAACAAAATAAAAACAAAGAAAAACAATCCATACAAAAAAAAACTTTTCCACTACGTTTGAGCTGTGGTGTGAAATATTTAAATAGGAAAGAAATCATTTAAAAAACCATTCCCGCCACATAAACGTCTTTCCCGCCAAGAAGACCCTGAAAGTTCAAAGGTCATTTTATTCAATAAGAAATCTCATATATTCTTTCAATGGACAGGTTAAACGATACTGGACAGTATTAAACAGTAATGAAACCCTATTAAATAATAATGAATAAGATTTTTTTTCTTAAATAAATACTTGACAATTTAAAAAAAAGGCTTCAAACAACATGCCGAAATAAGAAAAAGTCACCACTATTATCATTATTTTACGCATACTTCTTATATTCCTCTCTCTCTCTCTCACTTTCTCACTCACTTTCTCTCTCTTTCTCTCTCTCTCTCTTTCTCTTTATTTTTTGTCATTCTGTCCTTCATATCATCTCTATGTAGACGATATTAAAAGCAGCAGTAAAAACAATAACAACAAGAACAACAACACTAACAACAACAACAAAAACCACAACAAAAAAACAACAACAACAAAAACATCATCAACAACAACAACAACAAAAACATCAACAACAATAACAACAACAACAACAATAATAATTTATTTTTTTTAAAAGTGATCAAAGGCAGCCAGGCGCGTTCATTATGCTAAGGAACCTGCTCTGAATTAATGTCGCACTGAAATTTATTATTGTCCATATTATTCTTTTATTATTATTATTATTATTATTATTATTATTACTTTTCTTCTACGAGAAGTAGTCGTAAAAATTGTAGTAGTAACAGCAGTAGCTGCAGCAGCAGCAGTAATGCACGAATGAACGAATGAATGAATGAACGAACGAACGAATGAATGAATGAATGAATGAAATGAATGAATGAAAGTACCACGGTGAATGGTAACCTGAAAATGCAAAATTGATAAATGAAAGGTTAGAGTGAGAGAGATGAGAGAGAGATAGGGAGAGAGAGAGAGAGAGAGAGAAAGAGAGAGAGAGAGAGAGAGAGAGAGAAAGAAAAGATCATTTCTTTATTTAGTTGTTGATGGCGATATTGTTGCTGAAGATGACGATGTTGTTGTTGATGATGATGATGATGTTGTTGTTGGTGTTGTTGTCGTTGTTAATGACGAAGATGATGTTGTTGATACTGCTATTGATTTTGTTGTTGTTGTTGATGATGATGATGATGTTGTTGTTGTGTTAGCGATGGAATGTTGTTTGAAAAAATTTATAGTTGAGGCATATTTTCACGTTTTTGCCGCTTTTTCATAGATGGCTGATTTCTGGATGTAGGTTGTTGTTTATGTTGTTTATGTTGTAGTTGTTGTTTGTGTTTATCATCATCATCATCACCATCTTTATCTTCTCCATCTTCTTCATCATCATCGTCATTACATCGTCATCATCATCGTCCTCATCATCTTCATCGTCGTCGTCTTCATCATAATTTTACGGCGGCCCTTTTTATTCATTATCTCACGTTATGCATTTTTATTTCTCACCAGGGAACTTTTCATATAAATATGTGTGTTTGTGTGTTCGTGTGTTTGTGTGAGTGTGTGTTTGTGTGAGTGTGTGTTTGTGTGAGTGTGTGTTCATGTTTGTGTGTGTTTGTGTAATTTATGACCTTGCCTATATATATATATATATATCCATATATATATATATACATATATATATACATATACATATATATATATATATTAATTTACTCAAAGTTTTTACATGTTCGTCTCTATGAATTATTCATATCTGTAAAAATCACAATACATCTACATAAACATAGAAAGAAAGAAAGATTTAAAAAAAAAGAAAAAAGTTAGAGAGAGAGAGAGAGAGAGGGAAAGAAAGAGAGAGAGAGAGAGAGAGAGAGAGAGAGAGAGAGAGAAGAGACATACAAAAAATGTGCTTACGTGTATTTAAGCGTATGTTAACCATTATATAAATATATATATATTCATACTTGTATTTTGTATTGATGTTAAAAAAATGAATAAACAACACAGAAATCGTACATAGAGCCAGTGCAGTCACAGCGCTCTGTCATAAGAAGAATGACGTAACGTCAGGCGTAAAAGTTTAATTTTGGCGCCAAATATAAAACCAAGTCACAAAAGAGCTATAAAGATATGAACGGATGAATAAATGAACGAGTGAATAAATGAATGAATGAATGAGTGAATGAATGAAAGAATGAACGAACGAACGAATGAATGAATAAATGAATGAATGAATGGAACGATAAAAGAATGATGGAATAAAACAAAACTGCAACGTGGTAAATCGGAAAGACTTGAAAATTAAAAAGCAAGCACAAAATTACAAAAAGTTATTTTTATATAACCGAAATACTTTGCATTGTAATTAATCCTGTGATCTTAATTTACAAGCCTCGTCCAACAAATGATCAGGCGTTGATACATAAAGTTATCGAAATGTTTTTCAATTTTTTTATTGTCACAAATATAGCCAACAAACTTTTTCCAAAATTATTTAATAAAATATTTAATAAAAAATGCATTTTTATCACTAAATAAAACAATGTCCACAAAGTTCACCTGGAATCTTTAAATTATTTGTTAACTGTATCAAAGTTGTTTATATTGCTTGCCATGTGATTTTATTCTTTGTTTATTTTATTCTATTAAATTGATTTATATTTTTCGATTTTATAATTATTTTTTTTTATTTAGAATATGCGGCTGAAAAAAAATTGAGACTGACAGATTCACCGCTTGAAGAATGTTTTTTCTCCAGCTTTGTAACTGCACGTTCATCCAATGTAGACGGATCTGAGTTCACAATGGAAAGAATAATTTTTTCAGATTTTGTTGGTGCACCTGGGGTCAGAGTTACCTCCGGATTTGAGGGAAGAGGTTCTATTAACTTTTTAGAAACAACATTCTTCATTTGAGTAGAAACTTTTTCATTCTGGTTTTTACGAAGATTCTTATCGGTTCTACGTGGAGTTCTGCTGTGGTTACGACGCGTTCTGCCAGACAAACTTCTTGCAAAAGCTTTTTTCTTTTTTAGGGTTTTCCGTATTACGCTCACAAGTACAACAAACACCAGAACTAGAAAAATAGAAGTAGAAGATGCTACCGCCAAGATCAAAGCTATTGTCGGAGAATCGGCGACAGATGCCCCGATTGTCGTAAAGAAAATCGCGACAGGATCAGTTGGAGCTCCGAGAACGGCAAAAGTGTTAACTTTACCGTTATTGTTGGTTAACATAACTTTACAGCAAAAATCATCTTGCATGTCACAGTCATCAAATATAAGGTTGGATCTGTAATGGCCTTTCTTGCAATCTTCCACTGAGGTGTTACCAGCTATGTTCAAACTACTGCTGCAATAACATTTGAAACCTGCTTGCATCACTGCTAAACTTTTTGACATTGAATTGCAGGCATCCCTACATTGCATGTACGACAATCCAGCCTTTTTGAAGAGAAGGTCACCTGACACTTTCAAGTAACATCCGTAAAATGAGTTTGTTACAGCTTGTTCATCAGTCCAACTACTGCAGCTGACAACGTGTGCGTCTCCATCTTTCGATTCAGTGCACCTTTGTTCACATCTTCCGTTCAAGACACCGCAACTAACTTCATAAACTTCCATCTCTGCTATTGCAGGATTTCCTGTCCCAATCTTTTCGTCTGACTGCAGCAAAACAACAAGTCTTGAACGATATGTAAAATCTTTACAGATAACAGTCATGGGATTTCCAGCTTGTATGGCTTCGTCAGGTCCATAGCCGCATGTTTCTGGAAGATTTTTTGCATCGTCTGATGGACCGAGTTTAATCACAAACTTATCTAGTTGACAGCAAACTATTTCATTTTCACATAGCCTCCCGTAAATTCTAATATATCCAATGGAATAAAGATTGTGGAAAACAACGCTTATTGTATTTTGATTGTTGTTATCATCCATAACGTAACCGTTATATATTCCGTTATTTGGGGTGTCTTTGTCGTCAGGGTGAAAAGTACTCATTAAAAAATCTACTTGATTTAGAGCCACGTTCTCCCTAAACACCTCGCACAAGTTCCACTTGTTTCTTACAGTGCCCAATGGGCAGACGCATTCAACGTACTTATTACCATTGACCGTGGACTCAATACATTTCATCTCGTCACCACAGTCACCATTGTTCCTTGTACAATCTCTTTCTCTGCACGAATCTCCCTTCCAGCCTTCACTACAACCTTCTGGACACCTTTCTTCTATTTCATAGTTTATGGTTTTGCAGTGAGAGAACGTTGATACTCCTCTCTGAAATTCGTAAAATAAACGCGTTGAAAATATGGCCGGCAGATCTCTACGAGATTCAAAATAATATTCACAAATTTCTGCTTCATTTTTGGAGCATAATTCAGCGCGGAAGCTTTCATCGGCTGAGCGAAAAAATTGTCCATAATTGACCTCCTGGAAACAGTCGCATTTTTTATGAAATATTGTCTTCCTAAAGAATGTCATGTTCATTTCCAAACAGAAATGTGCACACATTTCAAGGCTATCCAGATTGTCAAAATTTCGTGAATATATGGCGGTCTCTGACTTATCCGGATACACATGGCAATAATATATATCGTGTTCCTGACGTGGTTGAATTTTATAAACAGAATAAAACTCAACCCCACCGCATGAGAAGTTCTTACAAAACATGTTGCACCGCCAGGAAGCCACTGCCGAACTGACCCCTCTTACGCAGTGACATTCGCGGCCGTTCTTCAAGCCGATCATGTTACTAAATAAATTCGATCTTCTGCAATATATAAAACAATCTTCGACATTATAATGAATTTCGTAAAAAGTGGATCGAACCCATTGAAAGCAGCCGATGTAGTCATATTTTTGGCCATAAGCTTTTGTTAAAATTGAGTTTGTTTGCAACAAAATAAGGACAAAGTTGCAACGAAGTTTCATTTTTGAAATGTTTTTATTAATTATATAAATTAACATTTAAATACTTTTAAACTGAAAATGTTGATGTTTGTTGTTTATTCTAAAAGAATGACGTAACTGCGAAATAAAATTACTTTCAAATCTGCATTGACAAATGTATTCTATCTACGCGCGGCAATTTAAAGATCAATATTAATCGAAATGATATTATTTTCAAGAGATCACATAAGAACAATTTTGATAAACGTAATTGTAGTATGAATGTTTGGAAATATCCATAGATCATGGCAGAAAATCCTTCGAAGCATGAATAAAACTGTCATGTGATTTTTAATTTATAATATTTACTGTACATTTTACATATATATCATTTTTAGTGTACATTTTTATATTTATTTAAAAATCTTAAACTTGAAAATTATTCCGAAAAAATTGCCTAGTTTCAATTAATAGCATTTCAAATTAATTTCAAAAATATGCAATTTTAAAAACTATAATGTAGTAATATTATACTATTATAAAGGAAATTTTATTCATGCTCTGTTAACTGCCTGTTCACACTCTCCAAAATGTCATCTGGTGATTTGGCTCCACTCGTATCTAAACTCACAGAACTCATATCCGAGGTTTGGCTTACTCTTTTTTGATCCTTCCTTGTAAAAATGATGTGTCCAAGTATCCCAGCTAACATTAACAGAAAGGTGGTCGTGCTCACACTTGCTGCAATGATCAACTTTTCCTTGTAGGATTCATAATTATCCGTCTCTTCGCTAGTTGTGGCTGTGTGTTGTTCGTTGGAAGGGTTGATGATGACGATGGTTCCCAAAGTCTCCGTTGCATCAGTGTGGTTAATTTTGGTAATTATTGTAGTGCTGTGCGAAGTCTCCGTTGTATCAGTGGTGTTAATTTTGGTAGTTATTGTAGTACTGTGCGAAATACTTCTAATTTCTTTACAAAAGTTGTCAAACATGAAGCAGTCATCAAATATAAGGTTGGATTTGTAATACTTGGCCTTGCAATTGAACATTGAGGTGTTACCAGCTATGTTCAAACTACTGCTGCAATAACATTTGAAACCTGCTTGCATCACTGCTAAACTTTTTGACATTGAATTGCAGGCATCCCTACATTGCAAGTACGATAAACCAGCTTTCTTGAAGTGAAGGTCACCTGACACTTTCAAGTAACATCCGTAAAACGAGTTTGTTACAGTTTGTTCATCATTCCAAATACTGCATCTGACAAAGTGTATGTTTTCTTGTATGAAAAGATTGCACATTTGCTCACATCTTCCGTTCAAGACATCGCAACTAACTTCATAAACTTCCAACTCTGCTACACTGAAATCATCTCTGGAAAACTTTTCATCCGACTGCTGCAAAATGACATATCTTGAACGCAATTGAAAATCTTCACAGATAACAGTCATGGGGTTTCCTGCTTGTATGGCTTTCTCAGGTCCGTGGCCGCATATTTTAAGGAGATTTCGTACGTCAGTCCTGGTGTCTGTGTCAAACGTTTGACTGAGTCTGACAACAAACTTATCGAGTCCAGCGTAACTCAATATATTTGTACCAAGAGCTCCGTAAATTTTTACAATTCCAACAAAATAAAACCTTTCGAGATCGACGCTCATCCATGCAGATCTCGAATCATTAATGCGAGCTATGGAGATGCCCTTACAAACTCCGTCGTTCAAATATATTGTATCAATTAGTGGGTTGCCTTTCCATGCAGAACTTGCGTAGGGTTTTTTATTCAATGCCACGTTCTCCTGAAACAACTCGCACAAGTCCCACTTGTTTCTTACGGTGCCATATGGGCAGACACATTCAACGTACCTATAATCATTGACCGTGGACTCAATACATTTCATCTCGTTACCACAGTCACCATTGTTCCTCGTACAATCTCTTCCTCTGCATGAATCTCCCTTCCAGCCTTCACTACAACCTTCTAGACAGTTATCTTTTATTTCTCGAACTATGTTTTCTTTGCAGTGAGTGTAACTAGAGTAACCTCTTTGAAACTCGTACAGAAATCGAGTTGTAAATTTTATCGAATTTTGAAGGAAACGGATGGAGCAGATCTCGTTTCCATTATACGGACACATATCATATTCTATATTAGATGGAATCTGGACTTTCTTATCAAAATTTTGAAAACAGCCGCATTTGTCATGTCTGTATTCAAAAAATGACATGTTTCTTTCCAGGCAGATGTGCGCGCATGCTTCGAGAGTGCAAGAGCGCGGGGGATAGGCCACTGTTTCTTCTGCAAACTCCTCGTTCAAATAAAATATTTCGTCGTGGATTTTTCGCGGTTTGTCTTTATAAACTGAATATAAGTGCAGTCCACCACAAGCCTCATTGTTTGAGCACCTAGAGTTGCAGTGCGCCGAAGGCACTGCCGAGTCTACTCCGCCGACGCAGTTGCACTCGCTGCCTCGCAAAGCGATGAAATTCGTGTTTCGTCCCTTGCAGAACTGCACGCAATCATCAACCGTGCTAACTGTCCCACTACTATTATTAAAAATGAGCCTCTGAAAGCAGCCGATGTAGGCGCTTCTTATATTAAAATTATCAAAAGTCACAATAAATTTTTTTAAAGTAAGTACACAAATTAAAAATATCCAGCAGAAATTTTTATCCATTTGAAAATAAATTTTGAAAATTTCATAAATTTAAACCGTTTGCGATTTAAAATTTTATCCCTCTCGTTTGTTTATGTTGACGTTAGTTACGTTTCCAAACAACAAAGAAAATTATTGCAATTGAACCATAGACATTTTAAAATTATATTTTACTCATTTACAAGTATTCCACAATAATGTTAGTGACTTACAAATAACATGAATGTTTATAATTTGCAACGGAATATGATATTGAAAGTCTTGCATTTTGAATGTAAAAATGTTTCTCATATAATAGTAGCGGTAATGGTAGTAATAACAGCAGCAGCAGTGGCAGCAGCAGCAGTGGCAGCAGCAGTAGTAGTATGAATAGTAGTAGTAGCAGTAGTGGCATTAGTATTAATACTAGTAAAGCAAAAGTTTGATCGTTAAATCTATCGCATCTCACATTCGATTCAATTTTCTGCATGCTCTACACAACAATAACAACTCATTCTAAGCAAGGCATCTCTGTGTGTTTGTGTGTGTGCGCGCGTTACCATTATATCATTATATTGTTTTTGATGCCGAAATGAAGCCATTGTTATATGGTTGTTATATTTTTTGTGTTGACGTTGATGTATTTCAATTATGTATGACGTCATTTCCGTAAGAAACTTATAACAGTGCTAAATGTACATAAAAAGATAATGAATGTATAGAATTTTCCATGTTAGCTAAAATTTGACCAATTAGATTATATTTAGTACTACTATGACCAAATGTCTCTTACGGTTCTACATTTTTATTGGCTTACGGGTTGTATAGCGCGTTGATTATACGTTATTTACTGTTTAATCTATTCCCTTATATTTTCAAACATACATATTCGTTCGTTCGTTCGTTCATTCATTCATTCCGACATTCATTCCGACATTTATGACGATAGTTTTACACGTTCGTCGTAAAACTTACCCCGCGAAATAATTCGCCATCGTAAAAATATAACCAACATGGCAGTATTGAACATTAAAAACTGAGTGCGCGCACACACGCACGCACGTACAAACACACACACACACGCCGACATACGCACACACACATATTAAGCAGCTCATAAAGAGATATTAAATAAATAAACAAATAAATATATATAAACAAATGGGTCTCAAACAATTAACCGTTAGAGCATATGCTATAAATATTGCATCTTTTTCTCTTTCTCTCTCACTTTCTCTCTTTTTTTTTTTCTCTCTCTCTCTCTCTCAATATATATATATATATATATATATATATATATTGTTGAGTTTTATGTTTTATATTAAAACATTATGATATATAATATACATTTATTTTTCTTTGGACCAAATGTTCTTTGCTTTGAATGTAACTTCACTTTTCCTTTTCTGTTGATCCGGTGGATAATAAACAAGTCGAGAACGTTGCTTAGTTAATTTCTCTTCTTTTAATGTCTTTCAATAATATATCAATTAATTAAATGGTCTACGTAACAAGAAATTTAACAGGTTATGGGACCCAGATAACGTTTTTCTTAATTAATTGATTTGAAAAGAAAATTTAGAATAAAGAAATATCGGAAGATTCCTTTGTGTTTGTGAAGACTGAAGTGAAGAAAAAAACACGTGCTTCTTCATTCCCTGAAATTCGATATTTTGCTTCTAATTAAAAGGTCAAATTGAAAGACAAGGAAGAAATGAATTCAAAGCTTCAAATAAAGCAGTTAAGTTGCGCAGCCGATTGGCCCATTTGGAGACGTCGTGTTCGAGATTTCATGGACTACCATGAGGGCGCACTTGATGTGATTGATGGGAAGTTGTTGAAACCAGAATTACTAGAAAACCAAACAGAGCAACAGGCAAAAAATTTTAAAAATAAATCAGATCTGTTTAGAAAGGCAAACAGTTATGCCAAATCAGTAATTGCAAATGCAGTCACAGAAGATACATACCAAAAGATAATGGACAAAAACACAGCGTTTGAAGTTTGGAAGGAATTAAAAAGAAATTTTGAAGCGTCAACTATAGACCAACTGTTCCAAGTATGTAGCAATTTTTTCGATTTCAATTGGATAGCGGATGTAGATGTATCCGGCCATATTGCAAGATTGAAGACTTTATGGAACGAATTAAACAGTGGGCTTCAGGCATCGGGAGAAAATAAACTACCAGAGCTGCTATTAGTATGCAAAGCGATGCAGATTCTCCCAAATAGTTTCCAAAACTTCAAATCAAGTTGGCTAATGCTAGGTGAAGAAAAGCAGTCGATAGATGATTTAATCACTCATCTCTGTGCTTTCGAAAGAGAGATAACAATCGATAAATCATCAAGGCAGAACGCCTTAGTTGTAAATGTTGAAAAGCCAAGTTTCAACAAATCAAGAGATTTCATTAGAAGGACAAAACCAGTTGGTAACTGCAACTATTGCCATAAACCTGGACACTGGGTGGGTTAAGCAATGTAGAAAGTGGGTCAGTGATGGAAGACCTTCTAAAAATTCCAAAAATGCTCCAGCAAAACCAAGAAATAACAATCTACGCGATGACAATAAGAAATCACTAGTTGCTATGGAATTAAGTGTTTTTGCAATTGATGAGTCAGCGTACACTGATGAATGGTTTTTTGACAATGGTGCAACGTGTCATCTAACTTTCCGAAGAGACATATTTCAAAGTTTTGAAAAATTTTCTCAACCGAGTAAATTATATGTTGCAAATGGTGATACTATAGAAGCTTTTGGAAAAGGAATTATTCATCTTCAAGTGAAAGTGAATAATAAATGGCAAACTGTTAAACTTACAGATGTCTTGTATGTGCCAAAAGTAAAAAGAAATTTGTTCTCAGTACTTGCAACTCAAGATAAGAACAGAAATAGCTCTTTTGTTTCAACCTCAAGAAGTTGTCATCTACTTATTGACAATGTGATAAGTGTTGTTGGAATAAGAAACAACAATGGAGGTTTGTTCAAACTTGTTGCAAAAATTGTTAGACCGTTAAATTCTGAAATCGAAGTTAACTTTGTCAATGATCAAGATGCATTGCAGTTATACCATGAACGAATGGGACATCAGAATAAGAAACATGTTAAAATGGTCGTGAAACGTGAACTAAACATCGATATACCTGTAGACAGTGAATTATGTGAAAGATGTGTCTATGGAAAGTTACATCGATTGAAATTTGGAACTCGAGTAAGAGTAACAAGACCAGGAGAATTAATTCACACAGATGTATGTGGTCCTTTTTGCTTCTCATTTCAAAATTACAGATACTTTGTTTTGTTCAAAGATGATTTCACAGGCTACAGATTTTTTTACTTTGTTAAAAATCAGATGTACCAGAAAGACTCAGACAAATGCTTGCAGAGTCAAGATCAGCTGGTCATAAAGTCTCAGAAGTATTAAGTGACAATGGAGGTGAATTTGACAACAAAGAAGTCAGATCAATTTTGCAAAAAGAAGGAGTTAGACAACGCCTAACTATGCCTTATACACATCAGCAGAATGGATGCAGTGAGCGTGATAATCGAACGCTAGTTGAAGCAGCAAGAGCCATGAGACTGACTCATGAAGAACTGCCTCAGGCCCTTTGGGCTGAATTAATTAATAATGCTGCTTACATACTCAACCGAACTGGACCATCTTCTGTAGAAGGAAAATCACCGTATGAAGTGTGGTTTAACAAAAAACCTAAGATAACACATCTACGAATCATTGGTAGCAAAGCCTATGTTCATATTCCTATGCAGAAACGACGTAAAATGGGTACTAAAGCTGTAAAGGGTATCCTCGTTGGATATGAAGGTGACGATGGCTACAGAATTTTTGTTCAACCAGGAAATAAAATGCATTGATCAAGAGATGTTATTTTTGATGAGAAGGTTGTCAAACCAAATTCAGTGATTTTGCAAGAAGAAAGTTGTTCAGATGATACAGTTTCGATTGATGTTGTAATCAAAGATGAAAATAAAGAAACTTTGTTTAAAGAAAATATTTCAACTGATGAAGATGTTCACAACCGTAGTTCAGTTTCATCTGATGAAGAAGATCAATCTGACTGTTGTAATCAAAAGACCAAAGGTATGGTTTTACGTGACAGGAATAATATCAAAAAGCCATCTCGTTATGATCCTTTCGTTATGTCTGCATTATGTGAAGTACTTGAACCAGTGAGCTACAAAGATGCCATTCAAAGTGATGAAAAAGATGAATGGTTTAAAGCCATGAACAGTGAAATGCAGTCATTAAAGGAAAATCAAACGTGGCGATTTGGTAAGTCTTCCAAAAGGTCATAAGGCAATACCATGCAAATGGTCTACAAGGTAAAACACAATCCAGATGGTTCTGTTGAACGTTTTAAAGCCAGGCTAGTGGTAAAAGGTTTTTCTCAGAAAAAGGGAATTGACTATGAAGAAATCTATAGTCCTGTGGTCAGAAGTTCAACTATAAGAACACTATTAAGTGTTGCTGCAAATGAAAAGATGTCACTCATGCAGTTTGATGTGTCAACAGCATTTCTTTACAGCAAACTAGATGAAGATATTTACATGGAGCAACCTGAAGGTTTTAAAGATAATTCAGGAAGAGTCTGTAAACTCAAGCGAAGTCTCTATGGACTTAAACAAGCTCCAAGATGTTGGAACAAACGCTTTGCTGAATTCTTGAAAAAGAGACATTTCAAACAAAGCGATGCAGATACTTGTTTGTTCATTAGAATACAGGGAGGGAAGAAACTCATACTTGCACTGTATGTTGATGATGGACTAGTTGCAGGAACCGATAAAGAAGAACTAAAAATATTTGAAAAAGAATTAAAGTCAGAGTTCAAGATAACATCTAAACCTGCAATATATTTCCTTGGATTAGAGATTAATCAAGATGAGAAGGGAAATATTAATGTCGGTCAGTCATCCTATACAAGAATGATTCTTGAAAAGTTTGGGATGAGTCAGTGTAAACCCTGTACAACTCCGATTACAAAATCTGAGGAGTTCGATGAAAACAAAAATGAACATGAGGAAGTGAAATTTCCTTACAGATCAGCAGTTGGTGCATTGATGTACTTGATGACGGGAACAAGACCAGATATTGCATATGCAGTTGGAGTAGCATTCAGAAGTTTAGAGAAACCCAGCAAGTCCAATGTAGCACAAATTAAGCAAATTTTCAGATATTTGCAAGGCACAGCTGATGACGGTATTGTTTACAAGTCTGGTCAAAACAATACACTTATAGCCTACAGTGATGCAGATCATGGAGGAGATAAATCTAGTGGAAGATCGACATCAGGTGTAATCTGTATGTTTGGAGGAAGCGTGATCAGTTGGTTTAGCCAACGTCAACCCTCAGTTGCGATTTCAACTACTGAAGCAGAAATCGTTGCCGCAAGTGAAGCAGCTCGTGAAGTGATATGGCTCAAACGATTGTTGAACGACATTGTAGATCTAAAGAATAAGCCAGAAATTTTTGTCGACAATGAAGCAGCAATTCGTTTAGCACACAATCCAGAACTTCACAGAAGAACAAAGCACATCCACATTAGACATTTCTTTGTCAGAGAAAAGGTTGCAGAAGAAGAAGTTTCAGTTGAACGATTTGCGACAGAACTTCAAGTTGCTGATGCTCTGACAAAACCAATGGTAGGACCAAGACTAAAAAAATCTGATGTGCGCGATGGGTCTTCAAAACATTTAGGTTAAGGTCATCTAATGTTTTAAATAAAATGAGAAGGTGTTGAGTGTTATGTTTTATATTAAAACATTATGATTTATAATATACATTTATTTTTCTTTGGACCAAATGTTCTTTGCTTTGTATGTAACTTCACTTTTCCTTTTCTGTTGATCCGGTGGATAATAAACAAGTCGAGAACGTTGCTTAGTTAATTTCTCTTCTTTTAATGTCTTTCAATAGTATATCAATTAATTAAATGATCTACGTAACAAGAAATTTAACATATATATAAATATATATATATATTGGTATGTATGTATATAAGTATATCATCTATCTCTCTCTCTCTCTCTATATATATATATATATATATATATATCTAGTTATGTCAATATCATCACAATCATTACCACCGTCATCACCATCTTCATCTTCGTCATCATCTGACCGACCACAAACCAGCAAATGCCTCCTTTACTGAGATAACCACGCGAGTCGGTGATAGAGAAAATCACACAAAATGATGAACTAAAGAAGGTGAAAGGGTGAAAGATAGATAGATAGAGAGAGAGAAAGAGAGAGAGAGAGGAATAAAATAAAATTAAATTTGAAAGGGAAAGAGAGAGAGAGAAAAGAGAGAATACGGGAATGGGAGTGAAAATGTAAAAAAAAGACAAATTCAAGAAATCCAATTAATTGAAAAAACTCCAAGAAAGAAACCAACTCAGGGTGGAAGTTGGAATGAGCGCGGTTAAAAAACACAAAAATTTCTGGGTTCAAAGCAGAAATGTACGAGATGATTAAATTCAGGAATAAATCAAAGACCGAATGAAAGAAAAAATGCTAATGCAAAAAAGAAAGGAATGAAAGAAAAAAAAGAAAATATCGAAAGACGAAGTAAGAAATAGAAGAGAAAGAGTGACAGAAAGAGAAAAAGAGAGAAAGGAAGATAAAGAGAGATAGAGAGAAAGAAAGAGAGAAAGATTTGTTTTGTGGGCAGAGATAATATTTTAGAAACCAACAACAAAACACAAACGTTCATGCATTTTAATCCCCTTGGATAATGTTTGTTCGGATGTATGTCTCTGCGTATGTATGTATGTGTGTGTGTGCATGTAAGTGTGTGTATGTAAGTGTGTGTGTGAGTGTATGTGTACTTTGAATGTCGCAATTCAGCGTTATCTTCAACGATTGTTTCATTTGCATACAGGAATGTCTTTACACTGATGTCCAGTTGTTGATGTTGTCCGTTGTAGTTGTTGATGTTGTTGTTGTATATGCTGCTGAGGCTGTTGTTGTTGATGGTGTTGTTAGTGATGTAATTTTTACGTTGATTTAGTTTGTTTGTGATGTAATTTTTACGTTGATTTAGTTGTGGATATTGTTGTTATTTTACGCGTTCTATTAGCTTGTGTTTGTACTGTTCTTGGTACTGTTGAATACTGCTATTTGTGTTGTTGTCGTTGTCACTGTTGTTAGAACAGCTCATCATACACAGCCAAACATATTTAAATACACATACATACACACATGCATGCATACATACAGACATACAAAGAGACAGACAGACAAAAGTACGAAAAGACCTACAGACAGGTAGACAGACACATACATAGAAACAAATCTTATCTCACATTTTGTGGCCACTACAACACTAAAACAACTGAAAACCGTGTTCATAATATAAATTATTGCCGCATTAAACTAATAAATACACATAAATACAAAGATTTGTAACGAAATGCAAAAAATTTATGTACGTATGTATATATGTATGTATGTATGTATGTATGTATGTATGTGCGTGTATGTATGTATGTATGTGTGTGTGTGTGTGTGTGTGTGTGTGTGTGTGTGTGTGTGTATGTATGAATGTATGTATGTATGTATGTATGTTTGTATGTATGTATGTTTGTTTGTTTGTTTGTTTGTTTGTTGATATGTTTGTATGTATGTACAACAAAATTATGGAAAGAAATTTGGAAACAAACAAGATGGCAATGGAAGATAGCGCGATTTGAATGAGTGAATGAAATACAAATGTAATAGAAAAATGAATTAAAGAAATAGTGAATGGCAGAGTGTAGAAATGGATGAATGAATGAATGAATGTATGAATGAATGATGAACTAAAAGAAAGAACGAAAGAATTAATTAATCAGATAAATGAATGAATGATTGATCTTTGAAAAAGTACTAAAAAATAGAGTGAATGCTCAGATAAGAAGAAGAAATGAATGAATGAATGAATAATAGAATGAATGAACAAGTGAATGAATGAAAAAACAAACAAATGGATGAATAAAGGAGTGAGTAATTGGATAGATGAAGTAAAAGAATTATTAGATTGATCGATTGAGCAAACGATCTATTGATAAATGGAAAAGAAAAATGCTAGCGATCATTCATCAGCAAATGACTTGTTACACATACACACGCACGCACACACACACAAACACGTACACAAACACACACGTACACACGCACACACACACGTACACACGCACACAAACAAACACACACACACAAATACAAAGAAACATACATTAATCATCATAATCTCTTCAGTGACACCGGTAAATAACCTAAAACTAAACACACATACGTAAGATTAGTGCACACGTGTGTTTATGTTTATATATTATTATTGTTATTATTATTATTTAATGTTAATTTATTGGACAATGATTCAAATGATTCTAAAGACTTCCAAAATTTACTATTTTCATTTTGTTTCTCGCCTTTAATTAATTTACCAACAAGAGTAACTTGTAACGCCAATTCATTAATCGACAACATATTTACGAACCTGTATCAACATTGCGAAAGTGGAGTCATAGTCTCAGACTTTTCTGACCATTTTCCAGTTTATGCAATAGTAGAAAATTTTAAAACTGCTATCAATGATGACCAAATTTTATGTAGAAAAATTAATAAAACATCCATTTTCTTTATTAAAAAAGCCCTCTCACTTCAAAATTGGCATTCAGTTAAAAACGAGAATAATATAGATACAGCATGCCTGAATTTCTACAATATACTCAATAAAACTCTTGACACATACGCACCTCTGCAGTGGCAGAAACAAAAATATAAAAAAGCATGGGTATCTGATGAAATAATAAAATTATCAAAAAAACAGAATCGACTGTATAAAATAGCAGTCGCTGCACCAAACTCCGCTAATGTTGAAAAATATAAAAAGTTAGAAATTCTTACATCAGAAAGAGAAAGGCAGAAAAAAATTATG